TGCAAACCAGTGTAAAGGTATAGGAGATCATCCAAGGTTGATGATCTCCAATATGCATAAATATATCCATGCATATTGGATATATTTATGCATATATATCCAAGGTTGATGATCTCCAATATGCATAAATATATCTTGTTACTCATTGAAATATGCTTAATTCTAATTCCTATTCCCATATCGGATCGAACTTGGATTCACCCCACCCAATCCGATAAAAATCCGAGTCCGATTTATTTATAAATATAAATATATTTTATATTATATACTTTTATACATTAATGGAATAGATAAAATTTCTTAGGGGTAAATGAGGAAATTTGTTCCTCAAACCCCTAGTCAGCCAGTCCTAAAATCTTAAACCCTATTCAACACTTCAACAGTTGACATTTTCTTCTCACTTCTCTCTTGCCATCACCTAACTCGCCTTCCCATTTGCCAAGTTGCTACACTTCTCTCCTCTCTCAACTCTCACTCTCTACAACAACCAAGTCATCGTCGCCGTTCTTTTCTTGCCTAAGATTTCTTCTTGACCATAGAGCTCTCTTGTATCATTTTCTTCTTGACCATAGGTTTTCATTTATTTTGAATAAATTATAGATTATTTCAAAATTTTTGAAATAAAATTTTAAATTTTACAGATTACAGAATTGTTTCAAAACTTTTGAGTAAAAATTACTGATTATAGATTTTGTTTTAATGATATTACATTCAGCTATTGTGACCATTCATCTACTGAAGTAGGTAGCTTCAGTTGGAGTCGGATTAAAATCTGAAAAATCTTATCGGATTCGAACTCGGGTTCCCTGCTCATAATCCTATCAGATTTCTGATCAGAATCGGGTGCAGCCAACAGCATGTTGAATCGAACTTGGATTTAGATAAATTCGATCAGAGTCTGATCCAATGACATGCCTAATAGGAAACCTTTACAAACCTTGTATAGATTTCTCTACCCTTCCTTTCCTTTCCCTACCTTTTCCTTCAAACCAAACATAGCCTAATTGAATTTATCTACATGGTTGATGGAGATTGTCAATATACGATATTTGAGGATAGGAATTAAAATCTCCATTTTGTTTGGTTATTGCCCTCTTGCTCAAAGACATCTTAACCTCACTTAATGGCGTCCATTGATTTGCTTTCCATTCCATTAAACACTAACATTTTTGGGCTTAAGTAGACTTCTTATCTAAATTACCGACTTTAAGATGCATTTTAGCATGGTCTCATTTACTCATTCATCCATATTTTATACTCATCTTTCTTCCTTGAATGCTCTTTCATAAAAGCTTTGTTAAGAAAACTCTGTTAACATTTTGTTTTCACATAAACTATTTTCTTCGAATCATATCTGCATTACAAGTTTTCTTATTTCAATTTCATTTGTTTCTGAAACCGCCTTGGTTTTGCATATCTTGCATTTTTGGTGCATATTATACATACACATTTGCCTTTTGTATTTATATTATTGAAATACATTTTTGAACGAAAACTGCAATATACTTACAGTAGTTTGTTTCTTTATATATGCATTAATTTTGAAAAAAAATGTTTCGAACTCAAATTATTCTCGTCACTTTTACACTTAAAATTGAAGACCAATAGATAACTCAATATGATCTCTTTCGGTACCTTGGTTTGACAATTAATAATGAGAGGTTGAGGAGAATGTTGCTCATAGAATTATAGTACGGATGGGCAAAACGTAAGGGGTACATTTGGAGGTTTACGTGATAGATGAATACCACTTAGATTAAAAATAATTGGTGGTTTGGTTTGGTCTTAGAATTCTTCAGACCATAATTTTCTAATTTGGTCTGGTTTTTTAAATTTTACAAACCAGACCAAACCATAAACTGATTTAAACAGAATTATTCATAATATTTATTAATGTATACAATATATATGTTTAGAACACACGCATACACATTATTTGCTTCAATTTTTAACTTGTAATTTGATGCAAAGTAGTTGCTTATGTTTGAGAAAGTGAATGTAATTTAGTGGTACTTATTAACATTTCAATTTGATATTTATGTAGGTATTTCAATATAGTTGGGCTTTCTAATTGGGCTACACCCAATAGAAGAGCCAAAACCGTATTAGAAACCGGACCAAACCGTAATAGAATGGTTTGGTCTGGTTTGGCTTATATACTAAAATGGTTTGGTCTGAGAATTTCTCAAACCGTAATTTGTTTGGCCTGAGATCTTCTCCAAACCGGATAGTGAAAATCCCTAGTTGTATGGAGTAGAGTGTTGAACAATCAAAAAACATGTTTAGAAATGAGTGGCGAAAATGTATATATTAAGATGGATGAGTGGAAAAACTAAAAAGGATAGGATAAGAAATAAAACCATTTATAAGAACTTGTGTATAGTTCCAACATGTGATAAAATGAGAGAAGGCAGAGTAAAATGGTTTGGTCATGTTCATAGAAGACCATTAACAACACCCCTAGGAAAATTTGATTTGTTACAAATTGAAGGAACTAGGAGGGCAAGGGGTAGACCAAAAAGGACATGAGTAGAAGTAGTAAGAAATGATGTCTCAATAATTTAATGATAAATATAACATTAAATAGAAGGGACCAGTGAAACAGGATCCATGTAACTGATCCCATATAGTTGGGGATAAAGCTTGGATGATGATGATGAGAAGTTCCCAACTTATTTACGAAATTTCAATACAAGAATATTAGCATTTTTCATAAGTAAGAAATAATACCATTTATCATCATCCAAAAACTGAATCACTCGTAAGGAAAAGATAAATGAATAAATAAATATTACAGATGAGTTCAATTGATAGCTAACCGGAGGTAATATAAGAATTTAAAGACAAAAAAGGGGTGTTCAACTTGCGTCATGAATCCCAAAAACAAGTACCACACTTTGTTTGAAAAAGCAGTGATTCTCAACGCAAATACATAGAAAATATATTCGAGTGTGAAGTGTATTAAAACATGTTTTTCTCTCTCGTGTTTCGATACCATATTTCATAAAGCACGCAATATTTACAGACATTATGATTGAACAGATATCAGATCACGTTATTTTTTTGACCGAAATCCATTTAATGCATGGAAATTAGCATGGCCAATAAAAGCTTAAAATCAGCACTTATTAAAGTGTGTATAGGATATTTTGGTATGTGTACAACACACAACAAATAATAGCAGATATCAGCCCTATGGAACTAAGATCATGCTTTTAAATGTTTTATTTCTGAAATAAACGAAATGAATATTTTGCTTTCAACATACGCACATCCAAGTACACATTTTTTGTTTTTTTTTTCCCATCATTTAGAGGGTATTCCAGTTTTATTTTCTAAAACAAAAGCAACTGCCACAATTAAAATCATGTTCCTTTTGCTAATATAGAAAATATTTTTAGGTGAACACCCTCTGAATGAACAAGTTTAGGTGAATAATGGTAGCCACTAAGAAAAAGTTATTCTATGCTTCCATGTTAATCACGTCAAAATCATCACCATCATCATCATCATCATCTAAGCTATAACATTATAATTTATTAATATGACATGTACTTGAAGTTTCAACTTTGCAAGCCATTTTTATTAACTTTTTCTTATTAATATTATATCAACAAAAAAAATTAAAAAAAAACCCTATTTTGTAATCCAGAGAGAGTGTTTCCCTTAGTTTTTTGTATTTCTCTCATTGTATAACACCTCTGGTTGTACATGGGTCTTTTATTCTTTCTTTTCTATTGAATTGATATTTTACCTCTTCTCAAATTGATCATTGAAATTGACAAGTTTTCTTCATTTAAGCTTTAACCACTTCACACTTCACATGGACTAATAAAACATGTGTTTATCTACTTATAATCATTTGTGAATTGGATTTAGCTTTGTTGATGTATTTTTGAGATTTATTTGAATTTTCTTAATGTATCCATGTATATTTTTAATTTTGTCACCGCATCCATGCTTAGCCAAAGTGTATTCTGATAAATCTCCTATATTTGCCTTTCTAATACTTTGTGTTTATGATATACTACGAATCTTGAACCTAATACAACCACAGTTGTGGTTAAAGACATCAACACCTCAGGTTGGATCAACTATGTTGGATTGGGCATTGGTTAGGCTAAATCCAGCACAATCCATCCAAATTGCAGCCCAGGATGCCAACTATAAAACTTTTTTGAGGTTGAGAGAGGCTTAAGCCATGTTTGGTTCAATTCTCATTTTTTCTCATTCTTATCTAAGATGAAATTCTAAAATGGACAAGAATGGGTAAAAATAGGCAAAATGAGAAAATATTGCTATGAGCCAAACACTTTTTTCCTAAAAATGAATTATTTTCTAACTGGTAAGTGTTCCATGTTGCTCATTTTCATTCTTACAAAAAAAGCTGTGCCAGTATTCATAAACTGTCAGCCTAGGTCTCCAAAATTGTTAGCATGGATGTTTACCGATGGACTGCCTGCAGTCAATGTCTATCAAGGTGAGTTTCCATGGTAGTCCACTAGTAAACAACTATGGCAACAGTTTTGTAAGCAGAGTTTCCTCAAAGAATGAAAATGAGCAAGGTGGGGCATGATTATCTTTCATACTGCAGGTTACTTCAATTTTTGTGCTATGAGCTTATTTTACATTTTAAAAAGAATGTGGTCCATGGAAAAAATGTTTAACCAAACACACTAATGTTATTCATTCTTACCCAGAATGAGCAAGAATTAAATGAATGAGGCCCAGAGCAGTGAACCAAACATGGCCTTAGTGATTAAAAACAATAAAAATTCAGGTTGCTGCTAGATAGATATTGGCATGTTTGGATCATGTCTATGTGGATTTCAGTGACTGCTTCTTGATGGCAAGTGGTAATGCTCGGGAAGAGATTCAAGGATCTCTTATACTAGGTAGTTTTGAAACCTTGATGGATAAGAATTTGTATTTGTGTTGTTTGCCTCCTTGATTTAGGGTGGATGGGTGATTGTACCCTTCCGCTTTCTCTATTTTCTTCATATTATCAAACAATTCATTGCTATCAATCAAAATACAGGAGAAATAAGAGATAAGAGGGATTACATTAAGTGCTGGGAAGCTCCTCTCAAGGATTTTGTTAATTAGAACTACTAATTGGACATAGATGCTAATTGATTAATGGACAAGCAATTAATTATAGTAACAAAAAAATTAATGTCTTGTAATAATTACTACAATACAACTGCTTGTGGATAGCATTCACTAACCTCCATCTGCAAATTCCCCCATGCTTGTTTACATCTTTCCCACTTGGTCATCATGGAAGCAAGGAATTCCTCTGCCCATGGTTCATTCTTCCCTCCCATGCTCAGGTCGTAAGGCACAGAGAAACTATTCAAGCATATTGATGAATGTTAGCTATTTCTTATATAATAAATCTATAAGATGCATAAAAACATGTATCTATGTACTGACAAGGACTCTAATGTTATGTAGGAATTGGGAATTGCTGGATTTAGAGGGTCTTCACCATCATACCATCATATACGAGTCTTTTTTTTTCTATCTATTTTTTTTTTCTTTTTTGATCAATAACAGAAGCTTTCATTAAAATAATAAAAATATTAATTACAAGGAGGGGAAAATAAATTATCTTAACTCCCCGGGCAGGGGCAAGAGCCCCCAGAAAAGCAATAAAACAGAATTTCAAAAGAGCCCAAAACATAGATTCCCAAACCACACCTTGCTTGGCTAACCCATCAGCAAAAGAGTTAGCATCTCTTCGGCCAACTGTACCTAACTTCCATATCCTTAGCCAGCCACTTGAAAATTTTCTTTTCATTGCTATAGTTCCACAACCCAGCCTTATCTTCTTTCAGCCACTTGAATTTTTTTCTATCTATTGGCAAACACCCCCTTGGTGATATGCTTGTATGGTTGTGTTTCAAGTATTGACATGGTTGTGAAGGTTTGATCTAGGCAACTTGAGAGCTGCTTAAAGGACTACTTACTAGAAATCACAAGATGGGTGCCCTATTATAATTTTATTACAATGGCTACATCTTATTAGTATGTGAGTAGATAAATTCTATCATATATTTTCTATGTTACTTTCGTTTTTAAGGTTTTACTATTGAAATATAAAAGACAAAAGGTTTTGAGAAGAGAAATCCTAAGGAGCGGAAAAAAGGATAAAGGAGGTTTTTTCTACCACTACTCTCTCTTTCCTTTTCATTACTCTTAAACTTCTATTTTATAAAACTATATGGCTTTTTTTTTTTGCTCCAAGGGGCTACACAAGGGGGGTGGCCCATCCCCCAAACCCATAAACCCCCCCAGCCCAGATGCAGGTGGGATTCGATCCCAAGGCTCCGTTACAACCAGCAGGAGAACTTACCAACCAGCTTGTTGGTGTTGAATTGGGCTGATTTCTAGTTATTGGGCCAAGTTGTTTTGTTCTTATTTTAAGTTGGTAAGTTAGGCAGTTGTTGGGCTTTAGGCCCATTAGCTTATGTTTTTTAAGTTGTGATTGTTCAGCTACTTTAGTAGCCGCCCTACTAAGGGCATTCTTGTAATCTTTCATTCTTTTAAGTTTAGATAAAATATAATGAGGGGTTGGCGACCAGAACTAATTCAATTCTAGTTATCATCCCACTCTTTCTTTCCTCTCTTTTCTTCTCTACTGCTGAAGCTCTTCATCTTCTTCTTCTTTCTCTTCATAAGGAATTCATCATGATTTACAAACAGTGATTTCTACTTGGTACCAAAGCAAGGCCAAAGGTTCCTTGAGCTGTTTTCTCATGCAGCCCTAGATCGGCCGACTTCATGGTGATTTAAGAGGCTGATCAAAGATCTCAGGTAAGCCCAGTTTTTGGATTTTTTTGTGAATCTGTTTTGCCCTGTAGCTGGTCTAGGGTTTCTCATCAAAATCAAGAAAAACTGGAGAAAGGGGGAGAGTCTTGTTTCTGTTGAACTCTTCAATTTTGACCTAGGAAGTGGCGCCCTAATATTTTAGGGTTCCTTGGAGTTTTCTGTAGGGGGCGATTCAAGTCCTGCCTGATTTGGAGGTTTCTGGAGAGAGCGGCTGCCTCTTTTCTCTCTTCTCCTATCCCGTAGAAAAGGAATCTTTTGTGGGAAGACCATCTAGGGCATCAGAAAGGTGTCGTTGGTTCCAAAAGTGATTCATTTGATCTTGCATATTACAGTAATTTTCTTTGCACCTTTTGAGAAGTATGGAGGGTTACGGAGTTGAAAACAAGCTCGAGAGTGAAATGAAGCCAGTGAGAGGAGGTGCTAGAGACCTTTATGGGGCTGGGACCGTTACTACAGTTAAGTTGGATGGTTCAAATTATTTAGAATGGTCACGATTTGCAAAGATGGCCATTGGTGCTCTTGGGAAGTTAGGGTATATCATTGGTGAAGAAGTGAAACCTGAAACTAACAACTCCCGGTGGGTATAGAAGAATTATATGGTGATGATTTGGCTGTGTAATTCCATGTTGCCCCATATAAGTAAAAACTTTTTATGGGCAAATACAACTAAGGAAATATGGGATGGGGTTGTAGAAACCTATACACAAAGGGAGAATGTTGCTAGGATTATCAATTGAGAAATCAGATTATTGCTATAAGGCAGGGAGATAGACCTATTGCAGTTTACTTTTCAACCCTTAAAACCCTGTGGCAGGAGATTGACCATTTAGAAACATTTGCTTGGGAAACCACTAAGGATGCAACTGCCTACCAAAAACACCTAGAGAAGTATAGGGTATTTGAATTTCTTGTTGGCCTTAATCCCGAGTATGATATTGCAAGACAACACATTCTTTCCAGGGACAGTGTTACCCTCTCCTAGGCATATGCCTTTATGTCAGGGGAGGAGAGCAGGAGAAATGTAATGATGAAAAATTCTAGGTTTGATCAATCAGCCATGGTTAGTACTGTGAGACCTAAACAAGGTGGAGACCGGGGTGGTAGTGAAATCAAGAAGGAAGACAAAAAAGATTTGATCTGTGASTACTGTAAGAAGCCTAAACACATAAGAGATACTTGCTGGAAGCTTCATCCACATCTTGTACCGAATAGACTCAAAAATAAGAAGGTAAATGCTCACACGGCAGTCACTGGTGACATTTCGGCCCCTCCTACTACAGTTGCTCTGGAGTCTGTTGCAGCTGCTGCAATAAGGGCCGAACTTGAGAGGTATGGGTAGTTTCTGAACCAGCGGGTTACAACCAATTCTAGTTTAGCAATAAGCAAACAACAAGGTACAAGTGGTTCTGATGGAATTCACTCTACTTCCTTTGCTCACACAGATAGTTCACATGCCATTGCAAATTATGTTTCTACTTCAGGTAAGGAGGGACCTCTTTGGATTATAGATTCTGGAGCCTCAGAGCACATGACCCATAGCTCCACTATTTTTTCCTCTTACCAGCTCTGTTCTGGCAGAGACAAGGTCTCCACAACTGATAGATCTCATGTTCCCATTGTTGGGAAAGGGTCTGTCAAGATTAGTGATTCCATTTCCCTTTCCTTTGTCCTTCATGTTCCCAGATTGAGCACTAATTTATTATCTGCTAGTAGTTTGATTAAGAACCTGAACTGTTTAGTAATTTTTTCTCCTGGTCATTGTATCTTGCAGGATCTGGATTCAAAGAGAACGATTGGGAGTAGTCGTGAAGTGAATGGAATCTACCTCCTGGATGTGCTTCCTCCTCATCAGAGTCATCATGTCAGCAAGGATAGTGAGTCAGGGTCTATGGGTCAGATTATTCTTTGGCATAATCGTTTGGGTTATTTGCCTTTTTCTTCTTTGAGTCTTTTGTTTCCAAAGCTATTTGAGTCTGTTAGTTTGTCAAGTCTAGAGTGTGAAGGTTGTCAATTTGGAAAGCATTGTAGACATTCCTTTAAAGCTAGTAATAAAAGGTGTTCTTCATCTTTTGATGTTATTCATTCTAATGTGTGAGGACCTTATCATGTTCCTTCTATGGGTGGTTATCGATATTTTCTCTTATTTGTGGATGATTTCTCTCGATATTCTTGGGTTTAATTGATGAGATCCCGAGATGAAGTACCATCCTTGGTAAGGCAATTTCATCAGATGGTGCTAACACAGTTTGCAACACGAATAAATGTGTTCAGATCAGATAATGCCAGAGAATATTTTGAAAAAACCTTGCTTCATATCTGTTAGAATATGGTGTTATCCATCAGAGCAGTTGTTCCTACAGTCCATAGTAGAATGGTATTGCAGAAAGGAAGAACAAACACATTGTTGAGATTGCAAGAAGCATGACGATCACATCTACAGTTCCAGTTCGGTTTTGGGGCGATGCAATTCTCACAAGAGTATATTTGATTAACAGGGTGCCCTCTCGTATACTTGGATTCAGCACCCCATTCAGTCTCCTTTTTCCTAAGGGGGAGATGTTTCATATTCCTCTCAGGGGGTTTGGGTGTGTCTGCTTTGCACATATCCTTGGTCCTTACCGCTCGAAGTTTGACCCAAAGGGTACTGCTGCTATGATCCAGTCTCTAGGAGTCGATATTTACTATGGATGTCACTTTTTTTGAGTCCACATACTTCTTCTCGAAGAATCCTTCTCAGGGGGAGTGTTTTGGGGATGTGAGTGAGCAGTCTATCCCTCTCCCAATTCCAGTCCCTGTGTCCACTCCTGTGCCACCTACCTTACCACCTCCCTTGCATCCTACTTCTCAGCGTTACGACAGAGACTTCACAAAGAGGTTGATTCCACTACAGCAGAACTCACATCACTTCCTGCCGGTTCCTTGGAGACTCAAGATTCAGCTGACACGGATTCAGGTATTCCTCTTGATCCCTCTACTGTTTCAGTTCCCATTGATTCTACTAATCCCATTACAGATAACCTGGACCTTCCTATTGCCCTCAGAAAAGGGAAGAGAAAGTGTACTGCTCATTGTATTTTATAGTACTTATCCTACAGTGGACTTTCTCCTTCCTATCGTGCTTTTCTTTCCTCTCTTAACTCTGTGTCTATACCCAAGGGTGTCAGTGAGGCTCTCTCCAAATCTGAGTGGAAAACAGCTATGCAGGAAGAGATGGAAGCTTTAATTAAGAATCAGACATGGGAGATTGTGGACCTACCAGAGGGCAAGAGACTGTTAGATGCAGATGGGTTTACACAATAAAATATAAGGCAGATGGAAGTATAGAAAGGTACAAGGCCAGGCTTATTGCAAAAGGATACACACAAACCTATGGCATTGATTACTTAGAGACCTTTGCACCAGTTGCAAAGATGACCTCTGTTCGGATACTTCTTTCTCTTGCTACCACATACTCTTGGCCCCTATTTCAACTTGATGTGAAGAATGCTTTCCTAAATGGGGATTTGCAAGAGGAAGTG